TCCTGTGGCACCAAAATCCTGCAATTCCAGCGTGGGTTGGGTTGGAGGGGACCTTAAAATCATCCAGTGCCAACCCTGACAGCTCCCACTGTGCCAGTGTCCAGCCTGGCACTGCCAGGGATGCAGGGATGGATTCCAGCCCAGCCCGGCCCTCCCTCAGCTCAAGGCTGGTCCCTGTGTCCCATCCCTCCATCCCCTGTCCCCACTCTGTCCCCAGCTCTGCTTTAGGCCCTGCAAGGGGCTCTCTGGAGCTTTCTCCAGGCTGAACAGCCCCAAAATCCTCCTTGTGCAGAATTCCCAAATCCCTGGAGCTGGCACAGCCCTGCCAGCCCACGCAGTGCCAGCTGTGCCCACCTTGTGCCCACTCAGTGCCACCTGCAGGGATGGGCACTGCAAAGCTCCCTGGGCTCCCTCTCCATCCATGGGGAAGCTTTCCCAGAGGAATTCCTGCAGCTCTGTGTCCCTGGTTGCAAACACCAAGCTCAGTTGAGCCATTTCTGGAATGAGAACAGCCCCAGAAATCCTGAGGAATTCTGTTCACAGGCATTTTCTCATGGCTCAACAGCTCCTCCTCCAGCTCCCTTCAAACCAAAGCAGTTTCTTCTTCTCATCCTTCATTGGTCCTTCTAAGTTGTTTTTTTTCTCTGTGGAAAATCTTGGTTTGTGATTTTCTTTTTGGGTGTAATTTAGATTCAAGGCTCTGGTCTAACATTTGAGATTGTTTTACCACGTTTTCTGGGTTTCTGCAAGTTCCACTCCTGCTCTCCTGCATAATTCCCCATTTATTTTTAGATCTGTCCTTTCTATTTATTGACACAGAATATGGGGACAACTTAACCACCACCAATTTACTGGGAAAGAGCAACTTTTGTGCTTCTTGTGCATTTGGAATTTATTTATTTATTCTGCAGTAACACCAGGGTGACCTTTTAGAAGAGAATTAACCATGAGGTCGAACAAGTGCCCTGATGTCAGGATAAGTTGGTGTCACCCTTGAGATCCTGGGCACAGCCAAACCTGCCACAATTCCCCCTGCAGATGCTGAATTTGCTTTAATCTCTGTTTCTGTGTTTGTTTCCCAGGCAATGCCGCTCAGAGCTGCCGTGTGTGACCCTGCCATTGTCACCTGCTCAGCGCCTGC